AGACTTTAGGGTTTAGGGTTTGTTTAGGGTTTAGAGTCTAGGGTTTGGGGTTTAGGGTTTTTTCGGGTTTTGGGTTTTGGCTTTACTGTAGGGGCTGGAGCTAGAACCCCAAGGATTCATGTACTGTAGGGGCCTTAATAATTTAGAATAGGGTTTCATGGGGTTCCTTTTTAAGGGTGCAGGGTGAGGGGTTTAGGGTTTAAGGTTTGGGGTTTACTTTAGGGTTTAGAGTTGAGGGGTTTCGGGGTTTAGGGATTTAGGGTTTGGGGGTATATCGAAGTATATTGAATTACACTATACATTATAATAAGGAGCGCCCAAAATAATTTGGGTAATGATCGTAAGGCCTGTATAGTAGGGCTTAGGCTTTGGGCCGCGCAGCCCAGCCCGGCCTCACGCACGCACACACGCAGGCAGACACATAAACCGTAAACCATCAACTGCTTTGCGCCGCGAGGCTTGTCAGGGAAGGGGCGATGCGCTCAAACCATAAGCCCTGAACTCTAGTTGGGTTTCGGTTTCGTTTCTGGTGGATTTGGGGTTGGTATATTCTGCCCGGTGACGTCGTTGTGCTCGCAGACGCCATGGGCTTCTCCTGCCAAGCGAGGCTTTAGATGAATGCCAGCTGTACTCACTTCCCGGTGAAATAACCAAGAGCCGAGACATCCAAGTCCCTACGATGACGAGGACGAGGAACGACGATGTGGTTGATGATGATGTTAATAGTGCTGATGGTGATGATGCTGATGATGGTCATGATGATTTGGTGGTGATTGTGGTGATGGTGGTAGTCGTGATGGTGCTTGTGACGAAGACGAAGATGAAGATGAATAATAATATTATGATACTGATGAAAGTGATGTTAAGGACATGGTACAAATCGAAAGCATGATGGTGGTGTTGCTGGTGCCTGTGGCTCTGGTGGTGGAGAAGTTAGTAGTAAGCTACTGCCGATGGTGCTGGTAATGGTTCAACCCGGTTAAAGCGGCCGAAGACGCGCGTTGCTGCTGCTGATGACGAATACGATGGTGATGATGACAGAGCTGACGATATCATGATGACGACAATGAAGCTGACCGGGACCGTGGGATGACGACGACATCTACCACATCGGACTTTTCTTTTCAAGACTGAGACAAGCCAAAGTGTGGAGTAGGACAAACGTTTCATTCCCATCGCCGCAAGCCTACTTCTCTTATGCTTTAGAGTTGAGGGTTTTAGGGCTTATAGGGTCTAGGCTTTAGGGTTTAAGTTTAGGGTTTCGGTGCTCTTCTTCCAAACGACACCGAGTGGTTTGCAGGCTCCTGGACCTCAAGCATTCGATGCAACAGGACTCAGGCTCTTTGGTAGTCTATTCTCCGCACAACAAACTAGTGCTAACCGTGCTTATGATGTTAATGACATGGGATTCTTCATACCAGTACCACTAGTGACCTTCATACTGGCTGTGTTGCAAAACACACGTCCCTAGTTGATGTTCGAAAGACAGCAGCCGCGCGCAGGGGCTCTGGCTTCTGAACCTTCTGCAGCAGCCCCTTAGTAAGTCTAACAACAGGGGCACCCTTTCCTACAATTCGGTTTTATTCATACGGAACCCTACGCCCTAAACCCTAAACCAAAAGCCCGGAACCCTAAACCATAAACCTTAAACCCTAAGCCCTAAACCCTAAACCCAAAGCCCCAAACCCTACACCCAAAGCCCTAAACCCTACACCCTAAGCCCTAAACGCCAGGTTCAAAGTCTAGGGCTTAGAACTTCGTTAGGCACCAAATGACCCTGAAAAGTGGGGGCCCCATACCCTGATACTATAAATCCCTATATGGTATATGAACCTTAAACCCCTTTTTAGGGTTCATGTCGTCATAAAGGTAACACTAGTGACATTCATACTGGCTGTGTTGCAAAACCTGCGTCCCTAGTTGATGTTCGAAAGACAGCAGCCGCTCGCATTGGCTCTGCCTTCACTCTAAGCCCTAAACGCCAGGTTCAAAGTCTAGAGCCTAGGGTTTAGAACTTTGGGGCCTCTGGACAGATTTGCAACCTGGGCTCTGAGACTGAGGGCCAGAAGTGACGGGTAACTCAAGCGAGGAATCATCGGGTTTAGGGGTTTAGGGCCGTTCTTAGGGCCGCTTAGGGGTTTAGGGGTTTAGAGCCGTTTAGGGGTTTAGGGGTTTAGGGCTCAGGTTTAGGGGTTTAGGGTTGGGTTTAGGGATTAGGAGTTTAGGGTTTAAGGTATTCGCACGCTTTTGCCGCTTCTTCTGAGGCAGTCAGTTTCTAACTAATCAATGTACACTCAATCAATCGAGATGCGGACCATCCGCACACAGGCAACCATGGGATGATTTGTAACATTTTCGAGCTTCAGATGTCGCATAGCTTCGCCATGGCACTGATTCGCCAATAGCGGCCCCCCAAAAGGGGACGAAATTGCGCAGTGAAGGGGCAGGCATGAAAGACGAGCACGCACGTTCCTCTGCACTGTCACAACGAATCGACCACGAACTCTGCTTCTTGATTTTCGAATTTCTTTGTGAGCCTGTGTGCAGCAGTCTCGTACTCTTCCACGAAGCCTCCGATGATGAAGGACACCAGGAGGTTCAAACCCACCAGCACTCCAAGGATGTGAAAGATCACGAAGAATGAGCGAGCCCACACCTTGGGTCCGGGTTTAGGGGTTTAGGTTTTAGGGGAACGTGGGGCTCGGTAATGCGGGCACTCTGTTTAAAGATTAGGGTTTATGCTTAGAGTTTGTCAGTCAACAAATGCTTGTTTTTCTTCTGAACAGTTGAGTTACGACTGCGCTTAGCTGGTTCAGGGAGTTTAGGGCACGCCGTCAAAACAAACGTTTGGACGGCTTGACAATCGAAACTCCGGGCATCAGTATCGACCACCTTAGGGACCAAATGACCCTCAAAAGTAGGGGCCCTATACCCTTATACTATAAATCCATATATGGCATATGAACCTTAAACCCTTTTATGGGCTCCTTTCGTCCTTAAGGCCAAGATGCACCAGCAGCAGCCGTGAAGCCATCACAAACTATAGTCCAGTTGTTGCCAACCAGGAGCTCAAATAGGGTCATCACACCCATGCCGAAGTCATTGAAGTTGCTGGCCCAATAACCTTCCATCTTCTTTCAACTTACCGCCCACAAGGGAAACGTCCTCGAACCCTAAGCTTAAACGAATGGCTGCTCTCTAAAGGCCACACAAACCCTAGAAAGATCCTGAACCCAGGGTTTAGGGTTTAGGGTTTAAGGTTTAGGGTTTTGGGTTTAGGACCCTAAACCCTCAGCCTTAGGGCGTAGCAGAAGACGAGTGGCCAGCCTGACCGAAGCTGGAGGCCGCTACTGCGGCATGATAAGCGTTGCGTGGGTCGGTGCTGATCATGCCTGGGTTTAGGGTTTAAAGTTTAGGGTTTAGGGTTTAGGGTAAGAGCCTTAGTCATTAGAGTAGGGGTTTTGGGGTATGTTAAACGGGTTTAGGGTTTAATGTAAGGGCATGAATCATTAGAATAGGGGATTTGGGGTATATTAAACTATAGTCATAATAAGGAACCCCCAATAGAGTATAGGCATAGGTACTTATTGAGGCTCCTCTATTGGCGTTTAGGGTTCGTGGAGCTCAATTTTCAGTTTCACTGCTGAGGGTTCCGAGGTGTTGGGGGTTTGGAATTTCGAAGCGGTGGAATGAGGTTGAGGTTCCCTGAAGGAGATTATTTTCAGGAAGTATTACACGTTTCAGACTACTCTAAGCTACCCATAGGCCCCATAGGAATTCCTTTTTGGGATTACCTTGTAGGATTCAAAATATGAACCCCAAAAGGAACTATGGGGCCCTTGGGTACCCTAAACCCCTGAACAGGACCTGTCGGAAGGAAGCCAGCCTCCGAAGAGGGATACCCCGATTGCTGAGAAGATATAGCAGATCAGTGCCAGGATCATGAAAATGTCCAAAGCTGTAGGGAGCAGCAGGAAAGTAATCCTTCCCAGGTCGTGGTACGGCTGAAAGATGTTGAGCAATCGGAAAAGACGGAATAATCGGGCGCACGCCACCACTTGAACAAGGTTCCAGTCATTATAGTCTACATATGGACATGCAATTGCAAAGCTGGTTAATGCGATGATCGCGGTCAAGACGAAGTCAAACTGGTTGGTATGTATAGAGAAGTATGTTGGCACTCCCAGAACTGTGATCTTGGCGGCCGCTTCGAAGATAAAGAGCCAAGTGAAGACATTTTGTCTCCATCCCGTAACAGCAGTCAGTTCCATCTTCTCCGCAACTCCTGTGTTTGTGGAGACAGTGCCTGCCATCACAGGCCACATTTGGTACAACATCACTGCGAGGTTGATGACCAAAACAAAGTCTATGATCCATCCAATTCTATCGACTTGGCCGAGATATTTCTTCACCTTCAGCCAAACGGGATGATCTTGCAGGCCCGGAAAGAGCACTTCTAAGTACGGAGGCGGAACCCACGTCTGCATGGCAGTGTTCAGCGCGCCGATGAGAGCTCCGAACTCTTGCTGGCTGATGATGCCGTCCTGGCTGTGTTTAGTTTAGAACAACTTGTTCTAACTACAAATCACTTGTAACTTGTCTTATTTCAGAAAGTCCTTGCTGGTGTCGATATCAAGGGCATTGACCATCTGCGCATTCCGCGTGTCTGCATACTGGCTTATCTCCTCGATCACCTTCATGGCGCTCAGCCCTGACCCTAAAAACCGGTAGCCACATTCCCAGAGCTCGTGGGGTTTTGCAAACACAGAAGGGCCTCGCTCTTGCAAGGACTGAAGGAACAAATGATCTGAGACCAGACTCGGTATAGTTATAGGAGGCTACGGCTCAAGGTTTGGCGGAATCCAAAACTAACGCGCACACACACACACACACGGAAATCTCTCGCCGCCTTCCCTTTTTTAAAAGGGCAGGGCCCTGCAGCCAGAAGAAGCCCGAGACCGCAAGAGTGTACAAACCAGGGTTCGGGGTTTACGCTTTAGGGTTCAGGGTTTAGGAGGGACCAAGCTCGGGGACAGTCGTTGAAAGTCCTTTATCCGGAAGCTGCATACATAGGCCACTCGCTGCCCCGGGCCCGTGACCCTACAATCAGCACTGACGCTAACCCTGCAGACCTATACCCTAAACCGAAAACCCTGAACCTCAAATCCTAAACCCTATTGAACCCTAAACCCTAAACCTTGATTTGCCCTAGACCACCAAGAAGATTCCGAAGTCACTCCTCGTGCCTTCTGCAGATCATCCACAGAGAGGGCACCCTCAGAGTTCAGCAGAGCAAAAGCCTCTTTGACTTTGTTCTGCCTGAGATTCCTCGGATGAAGCCAGGGTTAAGGGCAGGGCTAAACCCGAAGCCCTAAACCCTAAACCCAAAGCCCTAAACTCAAACCGCTTAGGCTTTGGGGTCAGGTGGACCTTCGTCAGCCCCGGCCCCCCTGAAGTTTAGGATTTATGGTTTAGGGCCTAACTCGTGTTTAGGGTTCGGGGAGTTTGGAGTTTGGGATGCTTGCAAAGTTTTTGGGCTCGGAGGTTCAGGCAGGAGCTTGATTCAAGGCGTCGCAAGGGTTGCCGGACCAGAAGAGCTTCATAGAAGGCAAACCCTAAGGGTCCAAGTAGTCCTTATTTATGGGTTTAGGTGCCCCAAAAAGGCCCCATAGTCCTTAAACAATGGGACTTGGACCCTTAGGGAAAAGGAACTTAAGGGTCAGGGCAATTTCTGTGTAGCCAAGACTCTTCCGACTTTCCAAGTCTGACTCTACCTGGGCTTGGTAGGCCTGCATCACCACGGCCGTAAAGACATTCACCAAGAAAAACATACCTGGCCAAGCCTAACCCGTAAACCCTAAACCCTAAACCCTCAAGGGTCACAGGCCGGATCCGGGTTCAGACTCTGGAAGTCTTCTTTAGGGTCTGGAAGTCTTCTTTAGCGGTTTAAGGGTTTAGGGTTTAGGGTTGCTCATTAATTTAGGGGCCTGAATAATTAGAACAGCGGTTTTTTGGGGTGTATATTATACTATAGCTATACTAAGGAACCCCCACTTTCAAAGTGGTTTGGTATTGCTAATTATTTAGGCCCCTACATTAATCTCCGCCGGGTGCAACTGCCATCTCACAACGCTGGATTCCCTAAATAAAGCCAGAGCCATATAAGTCATATAAACCCAAAACCCTAAACCCCTAAACCCTAAACCCCTAAACCCTTAAACCCTAAACCCTAGTCCGGGTTCTTTGGATCCGCTAAGCTTTGGAGTCCGAACCCTCATCCTCCTCATCCGAGCTTTTTGATGGTTAGAATAAAATAGAATAGACTAGACTAGAATACAATAGAGTAGACTAGATAAGAATAGAGTAGACTAGAATGAAGTAGAATAGACTAGAATAGACTATGACTAGAATAGAATAGGGCTTTGGAGCAGACCATACTAGAATTACATTAGGGGCTATGGAGGAATACCGTCATGTTGGTTTTTCCGACCCCTGTTCCAAACTGAGATCCAAGGTGCCGATGAGCAGGAAGAGCAAGAAGAAGATGAAGGCAGACCGGTGGCGCTGCACAGCTGGCAGCATAATATCGGGAAAGTTGGCCGTCGTGAGAAGGACAAAAAGGCTCCACATGCCCGGAAGGAAGGCTGGAAAATAGCCAGCACCCTCCTGTTAAGCAGGGATGGAAAGCCCATGGCGAATTGACTATTCGGGAGAAAATCCAAAACCCCTATACACAGTCATCCCAGGCTAGGGAAAACGTCGACATTCTTGTTCGAACTTTGGGAGGAGGTCCGCTCGGGGCAGACATAGCTCCTATCTCCAGCATCCAGTCCTCTGTGTCTGGGGGAAACACCACCAGTGCCATCCAAGCGAAGAAGACCTTACCAGGATTTAACGTTTTGGCTTTGCAGTTTCGGGGGGTAGGCTTACGATTAAGGGCTTCAGGTTGTGGGGCTGACTCGCAGCCTTGAGGGCTGGTTGCACTTTGCTCAACACGCTACAGTTGAAGCAGCACTGCTTGCATCATACTCCGAACCCTAAATCGCGCGAAACCCGAACCCCGAAGCAGAGATTGTTCTCGCTGAGCAGGTAACCTACCCGAAGCCGAAAAGCAAGACCTTAGACCTAAGCAACTTCACTAGAGAGCCACGATTTGAAACAGACTCTGATTAGACTCTAGGCTCACCAGCGCTGAAACAAAAAATGATGTGCGTCCTGGTGGCCAACAGCAAGAATCCAAGAGCCAAAAGCTCGACAACGTGAATCATGGAGTGTGACATAATCCTCGAGAGAGGGTGTTCAATTATCAGTGGGCCTTGAGGTGCCCCGGCAAACTGGCTCTGTGATACGGGCTCCTAAGAGGGAGTCTGATTCAGACAGGCCATAAGACCGGTTGGGGCGATTGATCTGGCGCGATGCTTTCAGCGCTTTGAGTGGGTCACATTTGAGGCTGGGGATCGTGGGGATTTGGGGCGGTTGCGTACGCCATATCCACAAGCCCGCAACTATCCAAACAAAAAGGAGAAAAAAGGAAGTGGAGTGGCACAAATCCTGAGAGTAGTACTAGTAGTCGTAGTAGTAGTAGTAGTAGTAGTAGTAGTAGCAGCAGCAGCAGTAGCAGTAATAGTGCCGGTTCTAGTACCAGGAATGGGAGCACTGGAACAACACAACCGCTGCCCAACGACACTGGCCTGAAAGAAGTTCTCCCACAAACTGCACACACCTCAACAACCCCCCAAAACGGGCGCACTGCTAATACTCAGAACCACCATGATCACTGCTGGCTGCAGCCGACAAGCATTCAGAAAAATACAAGGAACAAGAAACGAGGCTTCGGGGGCATGAGGGTCTACAACTCTCCAGGGACCCTGAAGGCCCTAAAGTCAGACCCTAAACCCTAAACCCTAAACCCCACACCCCTAAACCCTAAACCCCTAAACCCTAAAACATAAGCCCTAAACCTCTCAACCCTAAAACCTCAGCCTTAAACCCTAAGCTAAGCCCGAAGCCCTTCCCCAAACCCCCAAGGCTCAAAATCTGCTTTCCAACGCGGGGAAAGAAGACGACGAAGATGCCGGCGCGGAGAAACGGAAGTACCTTTGATCTAAGGTTGAACCCATGGGCCCCTAGCATGGGCCCTTAGGGGGCTCTAGGGTCCCACAAGGGTATATATAGGGTACATAGTAGGTATATTAGGGTCCCAGGGTTAGCGCGGAGAAACGGAAGTACCTTTGAGGGTTCAGGGCTGTTTAGGGTTTAGGGTTTAGGGTTTAGGATTTAGGGTTTACGCTTTAGGGTTTAGGGTTTAGGCTTTAGGGTTCAGGGCTTACGGGTTTAGGGTTTATAGGGGTCGGGGTTTAAACCTTCCTGGCTTTGGGTTTAGGGGTTAGGGTTCAGGGCTTACGGGTTTGGGGTTTATGGGGGCTAGGGTTTAAACCTTCCTGGCTTAGGGTTTAGGGGTTAGGGTTTAGGGCTTACAGGTTGACGCTTTAGGGTGGGTTTCAGGCCCTCCTTAGGTTAAGCAAGATCTTAGAGAATACTCTTCGGGCTTAGGGTGTAGGGTTTAGGGATTTCGAGAGCCCTCCATCTCCCGTAAATCCGTGGAGCAGGTGGTGCTTCGCCCGCCAAGAAAAGGCTGCCCAGTGGGCGCGCGCAGTACCTCACAGCGACTCGGGGCATTCGAGTTCACATCCATCGGCTTCGTAGTATAACCCTTACCCTAAATCCTAAACCCTAAACCCTAAACCCTAAACCCTAAACCCTAACCCTAAACCCTAAACTGTATTGCACGGTTCCGCGGCCCTAAACTCTAAACTCTTAAGGCGAAGACCTACATCTGAAGCCGAAGCTCCAAATCCCAAACTCCAAAGTAGGGTTGAGGAGCGGAAAACTTGCAAGGCGATAAACCTTCAACCCTAAACGGGGAATTTTAGGGAGTTTAGGGCAGAGGGTTTTGGGTTTCGGGCTAGGGCTCAGGGAGAACTCAACCCGAGTTCCTGGAAAAATGACCTCGCATCCAGACAAGTCGCAACAGGACGCAGCATACGTAGACGACCTTTGGGTCAGGGTTTTGGGTTTCGGCCTTGGGTAAACAAAATGGCGTGAAACATTTGACTCCGGTCCGGGAGCGGGCGCCCCTGCTTATTCAAAATTAACTGAAGGTACAGGGCTTGAGGTTGAAAAGGCTCACTTAGAGGACCTGCATATGTATATATATATATATATACAATTCATAGTTGCTGTTCCGATTCTGAACAGCTCCCTTGGGAAAATTCTGCTTCTAGCCTAGCGTAGGCAACAACTATTAGAACCTAAGTCGACCTTTAAGTCAATGTCGGGCCCAGAGCCTTGAAGTATAAAGCATCAGAAAACGGTTTAGGGTTTAGGGTTTAGGGTTTAGGGTTTAGGGTTTAGCATCAGCAAACCATGCTCTTAGAAATCTAAGATTGAAACCACGGGGGCCCCTAGTATGGGCCCTTAACCCTGGGATCCTGATACACCTACCATTTACCCTATATGTACCCTTAAGGGTCCCTAGAAAGGCCTAGGGGTCCACATTAGGGGCCCATACTTCTAACCTTAGCCTTAGAAAGAATACTCATACTCATTCTTTCGAGTTCAGCATGTGTGCATTCATTCGGGCATGCTGCACTACAAAGTTTATAGCTGGGCTTCGGCTTCGGGTCAACTACATCTATACCACGCCATAGCATGCTCAAGGTAGCAAGAGCGGATTTATGGCACGGCTTGTCGCTTCGGGAAATTGTTATGGTAGGTAGGACATAGTACGAAGATATAGAATACAGTCTACAATGGCGTGGTTGTGGAGTTTCCAGCAAGTGCTCAGAACATAGTGCAGTAAACAAGCTTGAGAACGATGTAATTCACTAGTCACGCAGACAGTAACAGCACTGTAGTGGTAGATAACACCATGCACCATTCAAGACAACATGTGCTTGCTCAATGCGCTTAAAAATCCTGCCACAGCCCCTGTCATGCCGTGAGACTCGAAAACACTCGCATCCCACCGATGTGCGGACCAGGCTGCATACATCCGGTCTTCGTGGCAGATCTTCTTGCCAAATGCACGATGCTGGAGGAAGATATCGATGATAAATGGTGCCTCGGCTGTCCAAGATCTCGGCATGAAGAAGACATAATACTGGATAGCGAGAATTGAAAGCGTGGGTTTTAGGACGGTTCCAAAAGGGACTTAAAGAGTCTGCGAAAGGATCACAGGTTGCAGGTTGGAGGAATCCCATCTGAGATCTTTGACTCAGGAATTCGTACAGCTCCGCGGTCCGACTCTGTTGAAACTTCCGGCAAGGTCATGGTCTCACAAGCCCTGCAGCACAAAGGCAGAAGCAATACCAATACTAGTAGCAACAGTGATAGTAGTAACAGTAGTACCGGTAGTTAAGACACAACTAGCCTTGTGAACAAAGAAAACAAGTGTAGTGCAGAGACACGCAAAGCGAAGCGGTTGGTGCTTTATGGTGGACAAGGATGCAGGGATTCGGAATCAGTTCATGTGCTGCGCTCACTATCTGCAACTCCTCAGCTGCAAAAACCTCAGCTGCAAAGTCAGGAGACATGCTCCCACCTTGAGCCCCGTTCCCGAATCCCTCCCATCCATAAACCTACTTGAAAGCGCGTGCCGAACAAGCTGCAAAACCTAACCTCATGATATGAGTTGGCATCAGAATTGCTTGTTGATGTCTTGCATATTTTATATTCAGCGAGTCCCCCAATCGTCTTCCAGGCTTTTCACCTACCTCACAATCTGCTGCGTCTAGGGAGTCTTGCCCTTGATGTGGTAGAGAGAGACATGGGCTCTTTAGAAGGGTGGGGGGGAGGGGCTGTACTTCACAATACGGTACTATGTGCATACAGTAGTAGTACAGTAGTCGCACAGTAGCCGTAGAGCGATGCAGTAGTACAGCAGGTAGTAATACAGTAGTAGTTACTTATAGTGCAGTAGCAGTACAGCTGCAGTACAGACCCTAAACCCTAAACCCTAAACCCTGAACCCTAAACCCTAAACCCTGGACCCTACGTGCATAACATGTGCAGCACTCGTTTCAAGAGCTCGGGGCCTCCCTGGCCATTTCGGAAGGCCTGGCTTAAAAACTAACCAGCGAGCAGCAAAGGGTCCATGCAGAATCCTTTGCCACCTTCTGGAGTCACAGAATTAGGGTTTAGGGGTTCAGGGTTTAGGGCTTGTGCCTCATCGCCTCTACAAGCTTTCCCTCATATCCTGCCGCAAGTCCTAACCCCACAATTTACAAAAAAGGCCCGGCAGACACAGCAAATCCAGCAGAGACCGGAGAGCTGTCTGAAACTAGCGGCCATGTAGATGCAGTTTGTGCAGATCATGGCCGGCGACCTTTTCTTCAGAGGGAGAGCACTCTTAACTAGGACCTGGGAGCGCATGCGTGGGCTTCTGTCTTAACAGCTCTACGTTTTCGGAACTTGGGCCAGGGCATATGTAGAAATGTACTGAAGAACCGTTCACCATTTTGCAGGATCGGATGCGTTCTTGGGTTGAAGATCTAAGCTCAGTGCCCTCTCTTCTACACCCAAGTATTATGCAGGTGCGAAATGGGTCACGGAACCCTTGTTCAAAGCTTGCATGAATCTAAGCGCCGCAGGATTATCGCAGCTTTGAAGACTTCTACAGCTTTAGTTGTGGGTTCGTCGTAAAGTCACAGGGTTGCACGGTTCTTGCAGGATTGGGTTTCCTGGACCTTCGTGGGAGTCTAGTGCAAGATGGATCCGAAGCAAAAGACTGAAGCACAAATCCCATACCCCTTCCCACAAAAACGGAAAACAAGACAACGAATACAGAGAGAGGGAGAGAGGGAACCGAGAGAGCCAGCCAGCCAAACCTGTAAATCCTAAAACCAAATGATAGCCCTGAACCCTGAACCTTCCCGCCTTCGCCGAAGCATCGGGAGCTGGGACATCAAGTACTGCTCCACGGCCTTGGTGCCAGAGGCTCTTTCCCCATTTGCGCGCAGAGCTGTGTACGATTTCGGCTTCAAGGCTGACAGCCAATATTGGTTGACGAGGGTCAAGGGCAAAGCTGTGGATATGATGATTTTGATGATACTGCTGGCGATGATGGATGATAACGAGACGGATGGCGACGAGTAGTGATAATGCCGATGTTGACAACAGTAAAGATAAGGGGAACAGTTATCATGACGATGAGGAGGAGAAGCAATTCATTGTCGAGCTCTGAGACCACACAATCTCTGCCCCAGCGGCCTCTTCTGAACACTGATAAACTTGGTAGTATCGTTATTGCACCCTTCAAGGGATCCCCCATATTGTAGTATCTCTGAAAGGAAACCTACAATCTAAAACCACATTTGTCTGCCCAAGTGGCCTCCTCTGCACACCGATGCTCCGCGAAGCTACACCAGTGGGGCTCTACGAAGAACTCGATCAGCATCCCCAGAAATGCCCACAGCCTGTAGGGTTTAGAATTTCTGGGTCTTCGGTTTAGGGTTTAGGGTTTAGGGTTTAGGGTTTAGGGTTTAGGGTTTAGGGTTTAGGGTTTAGGGTCTTCGGCTTCATGCATGGCCTTGGGGCTTGAGGCTTTAAGGCGTCTAGGGGTGTCTAGGGCTGGTGTCTAGGGCTCAGGGCTTCGGGGCTATGGTGTCTAGGAGCTAGGGTTTGGGGTTTTAGTATAAACCCTAAACCCTAAACCCTAAACCCTAAACGGGTCATTGCGGGCCCAAAGATCCAAGCATGCGGTTTGTTTTTTAGGGCCATTAGCGCTTGACGTTTGGGCCTTTGGTCTTCCGAAATAAATTTCCGGTGTCTATTTGGGAGTTTCCGATAATAAGGGGTACCCTATTTTGGGGTCCGCATAATAAGGATACTGCTATTTGGGGTCCTATATTAGGGTCCCCTATTTTCGGAAACCCCCATGTATGGAATGTAAAGGAATACTCTTACGGCTTAGACAGATCTCGATCTTTCAATGGTTTAGAGAATGTGTCGGGGCCCTGTATTTACCCCCAAAGTCCGGACCCGATAATCCGGTATTTTGGTTACGGATTGTGGTAATCTAGGTTCATATTGGGAGGGTATACGATCATTCGGTACTTGGACCCATAGGCTTAGTTTCGGGTAAATTGTTATTAGGTGCTTGGGCCCTCACCTTAGGGACCAAATGACCCTTAAAAGTAGGGGCCCTATACCCTTCTACTATACATCCCTATATGGTATATGAACCTTAAACCCTTTTAGGGTTCAGTTCGTCCTTAAGGTAGGGTTAGTTTAGGCTGGATTTCGGCGGGGAAGAGCTGCGCAGGTCTTTGTTCGGCAATTGCTGAACATGCTCGAGCAAAGCTGAAGTCGTCAGAAGCCCGCCCAGGACACTGCAGGGCCTTAATATAGGGGCCTTAAATAATTAGAATAGGGTTTTGGGGTACATGACACTATCATTATAATAAGGAGCCCCCAAAACCCTATTCAATCCTATTCTAATTATTAAGGCCCCTACACTAGCCTGAACAGGTTGACAAATAATCACCCACATGCTAGCAGAGCAAGTATGCACTGTCAACAGTCACCACCACCATCAACATCCTCATCATGAACCTTACCATCATCATCATCATCATCAGCATCATCACCATCATCATCAACTCCATCATCAGAGTGACATATGATATGAGCACGATGATGACGCTGGTGGTGACGATGACGCAATTTCAAGTCTTGGTGTGTTTAGGGTTTGCGGGATTGACCGTCTGTAAGTAGCTTTAGGACAAGTTCCGTCATGCCTGAGGTTTAGGGTTTAGAGGGCGTGCGATAGCAAAGATATTGCATGGCACAGCCACGCCAAGGCGCGTGAGCAGTGGCAGCAGCCTCTTGTGCCAGCGGAGGGCACAGAGCGGTCCCTGACCATGCAAAGGCACCTGGGAAATACATCGCAGGCCACCCTAAATCCTAAACCCTATAAACCCTAAACCCTAAGATCCCACCAAGTCCCCCACCTCTAAACCCAATCCCAGGGGCGGGACGCTCCAACCCCTCGATAGCTGCGTGGAGGATGGCCGCTGCTTGCTCGATCTTGGCGTTCTCCGCAGACATCATGGAAGTCTCCTGAAGACTCACTGAGAACTAACGTAGGTACTATAGCTATAATAAGGAACCCTAAACCCTAAACCCTAAACCCCCGCAATTATTTAGGCCCCTACATTAAGAGAGTCTAGGGGCGAGGAGTTAGGGGGGGGTGCTAGAGCTTCTAAGGTTTAGGGTTCAGGATGGTTTAGGATTCTGTTTGGGTTGACGGTTTAAGGCTTAGGGGCTTTAGGTTTAGGGTTTAAGGCTTAGGGTTTAGGGTTTAGGGTGTTAGGGGCTTTAGATTTAGAATCCCACTTTGGGCTTTTTGGCTTCTGCAGACAGCGCAACACAAGGAGCACAGAGGGACTCACTGGAAGCCGAAGGCTCGGGGTTTAGGGACTAGCGGTGACTAGCGCTTCGGATCTTAGGAAGTTTAGTAGTTCCGGGTTCGGAATCTAGCGCTTAGGATCTCAGGCTTAGGATTTAGGATTTAGGGATCTAGGGCTTAGCATTTAGGGTTTCTAGGTTTGCTATGCACCCGAAACCGTTGAGGTCAAGGGTAAAACCCTTGTCCCTTGAAAACATCAACTGTAAAGGGAGGGTCTGTATGCTTAGACTCTGTGCATGTCTGCTTATATGAATTGAACGAAAGCACAAATCATGCAACATCAGACATACACTATGCACATCTACACGAATATGTAGGCATAGGCATACAACAATTATAGATACAAGCTTATGTACGTGTCCTCCCAGCTTTCGGCTCAAAAACCCAATTAGATCCCAGAGCCCTTAAAGGAACCCTCCCCCAGAGGAACTTAAGCCCAAATAGATCCTAGAACCCTGAAAGGAAACCGAGATATTGTCCTGTGGCGCTTACTTCAGACCCTTAACCCCTGAACCCTAAACCCTGCACCCTAAACGACCCCGGGCACTTGTGCGCGCTGCACTAAGTGATCTACTTTCTCGGGTTGTTTTGGGCTTAGGGTTTTGCAGGTTTTGGGCTTGGGGTTCAGGGAAACAGTGGTTTGGGGTTGGGGGTTTTAGGGTAATAGTTGTTAAGGTTTAGGGATTGGAGTTTGGGGCGATGGTATAGTGGATTAGTGTTTAAGGTGCAGGGTTTAGGATCACGAGCGCTCAACGATCAGGGTTTGGAACATGCTGTAGGGTAGCGCGGGTTTCAAGTACTAGGGTTCAAGTCTTAGGGTAGAGTTGATGCCCGAGTCCAGAAAAACGTTGCCTTATTTATCTACCTTGTATCCACCCCTTCCAGGATTGAAGGACAGGAGCACTCCTTCAGGCTTTTCTGTGGTAAACTGGAGTTATGAGACTCAGTTGGACTCCTGAGTCTGCGTGGTAGGGTTTAGGGTTTAGGGTTGAGGGTTTAGGGTTCAGGGTTTAGGGTTCAGGGTTTAGGGTTTAGGGTTTAGGGCATCCAACAACCAACAAGCATCCCAAGTTTTCTTTGGCTTGGGGCAGTCGTCAGCAAATTACTCCGCGGCAACTCTCCCGAGAGAGGGTACTCGTGTGGAAAGTGCAGCTTCAGTGCACAAAGACTCAAACCATTCTTCCTCGTCATGCCAATACGATTTACAGAGTTGTAAACTAAGCGCCAAATTTGTAATGACGGGGATAAGAGTAAGCATAATCCGGGTAGTAGCGAAAGCTTCTAGCCGCAATTACACGAATGGTGTTCACGGAATACGCAATACCAGTGACAGTCAAGACGCTCAACAACATTCTGATAGTGATCCAAGCATTTATGCACACACAGTTGGTAGCACAAGCTCGCAACCCGGCCGTGTCCTCGTCATCAGAAGAAGCTGCGCCCGCGGAGTTCGTGCCGTTTGTGCTTTCGTAGAACATCATGCTGCGAGTTGATGCGCTCGCCATTGCAGGACACTTCAGACTACAGACCCATCCTACGGTGATAAACCCCGAAACTTAGGCCCTAAACCCTAAACCCTAGTATAGAGGCCCTTAAATAATTAGAATAGTGTTTGGGGTATATTATTTATTATACCATAAGTATATTAAGGAACCCCCAAAACCCCATTCTAATTATTAAGGCACCTACACTAAACCCCAAATCCGGGCTGCCGAGACCATCAGCGACTCCAGCTACTCCCCTTTACATTACACAGCTGCTTCGAGCGTGTCCATGTCTTCTGTCGGTGAAGTCCTCCATGTGCCACAGTATCTATAAGCAAGTAAACAAACAAAAGCAAATATAGTTAGACTATGTACATAGATGAATATATACATATCTGTATGCCCAGGGCAGACTCAAACTCAAACTGCGGAAGGCGGAATACAGTACTTGAGTCACCGTGGTGTGGCCACAACATGCTTGGGGGCTGCGGCGGGGTTACTGTCTAATGTAGGGGCCTCAATAATTAGAATAGGGTTTTGGGGCCCATTATACTGTTAATATAATGACCCCCCCCCCAAAAAAATATAGTATAGGTCATTATCAAGGCCCCTATACTACTGTCCAGGTTCAAGATTCAGCTTTCGGGCTTTGAGTTTAAGGTTTGCTCCGCCCCGGCCCTTCTAAGAGCACATTGACATGGAGTTTAGATAGGGTTTAGGGTCAAGAAATCTGAACCCCAGTACATACGTGAGTTCTGCTTCAGTAGAAGCGACGTGTGCCCGTTTCAAGAACGCTTCCAAGTTCAGCGACATCCCCGAAGGCTCCATGTGCCCAAATACGGTTGATGGTACAAATCCTGCATTACCCATAATACGGAATATAATAAGGAACATACCATAACTCCCATAGTTTAGGGTCCTTAAAAGGTAATGCAAAATTTATATCATCAACAGTAGTATGTACTTTGGCCTTAAATTAAAGCCTTAAAGTACCTAGATGGGAAGCGCTTTAAGGCCTAAGTGTATACTACATGGGGCACATGGAGCCTTCGGGATCATGACTTAGAGCCACCACTGCGTTTCTTTTGAGCTTCTCCATCTCTCATCCTTCGCCCCGAAACAGGCCTTCAAACTGTCCGTTCAAAGCAACTCCAAGATAGGGGCCCTGAGAATAGGTTCTTTTGGGTAGACTATATTCTAGTCGATTTCCCAGGTAAACTGAGACTGGTATTATGCTTCTTGCTAGGTACCACTGCCCAAAGCCCGAAGCCCTCAACCCAAAAACGCAACCTGGAGGCAAATGCTCGGATGCTCGAGACCCTAACCGTAACTTTACACCGCCAAACCGAGAAGCTATGGAAAACGAGCCCAAAAACATGACCTGTAAACCGTAGACCAACATCTCTACAAGCCCGATAGCCAAGCCCGGAATCATTGAAGCTGTAGCCCTGCAGTCCCGCGTGATAAATCCTCAAAGAAGACTCCAAACTGTAAATCTGCAGTCTACCATCTCAGGCGCTCGAAATGCAACCCGAAAGTTCCACTCGATGATATTCTTCAATGAACACGCACAGAGCCCACCACCCTAAATCCTAAACCCCAAACCTCTGCCTAAACACATCTAAACCCGCATCGCAGTAATCCTAGAGCCTCAGACTTTAAGACCCCGAACCCCTTAACCCGTAAACCCCTACACCCCTAAACCCTGAAACCCTTACACGCCTAAACCTAAACCCCTATAAACCCCAAACCCCGAAACCCGCAAACCCTAAACTCCTACTCCCATGAACCCCTAAACCCCTACAAACCTAAACTTGAACCCCTAAACCCTGAACCCCTAAACCCCTATAAACCTAAACCCCAAAAACTCTCATCATATTCTGGCCCCTATAGTTTAAGGTATATTCCTAAACCCTAAACCCTAAATCAGGGTCCTTCATCTGGCTGCCCGAAGACCCACCCGAGGATTCCACCGCCACTCCAAGGCTCCGCAGCAAGGCCTGGCGCCCGAGCCAAAAGCGCAGAGTCTCCATTCTTTACAGGGTTTAGGGTTTGGGGTTGAGGGTTTGTCG